CAGGCAATCTATGCCAGTGTGCTGCCTGGGGAATTGATGCGCGGTTATATGAGTCAGTTTCCCACGTTTCCCAGCTGGCTGGGGAAGTTCTCATCCACGGGCAAGCACAGTCGAATTGTACAGGAGCTGTCCTCACACATGAGTCTGAAGTGAGTGCTTCACACACACACACACACACTTTCACTCTCGTAGCTATTCGGGGTTCTTTTTGGGGTTGTTGGATATGTACACATGGTAGATACGCCTGAAAAGAAACCGTCACTGGGTTCTTATGCCACGGAGTGTCAGAAGGTGTTCATTTGATGTATCTGTCTCGCAGTGGTGCCAGCTCAGTGCGCGCATACATTATTGTTTCTATAGTAACAATTAACACAGGGATTTGTAGGGTGGACGCTCGGCGTACCAAAATTTGAACTCGCTTTTGCGCAGAAATGCTTCAAATATGCCTCGTTTATACTCTCTTCCTGTCTTGAGTCGTTTCGTTGCATGCTCTCAGAACCTGCGATCCTAGTAATATTGCCATCCTCGCTCCGTAGGACACTGAGCAGCAAGGATGCTGTAAATCTAGACTACCTGCCCTACCTGCGTTCCGCCCTGCTGGAGCCCCTGCGGTGTCGTGGGGCAGACGGAGCCGCTCAGAGCGTGACGCTCATGGACGACTACGACATCGTCAAAGAGGATTTCGACAGCATCATGGAGATCAGTACATGGGGCGGACAGGCCGATCCGTACTCCAAGCTCGACTCCAAGGTATGAAGATCCACTGCAGTGTGTTCTGTTTTATGGCTGTGGCACGTTCGTCTCCGGTTTCTTATAGAGTTCCTGTCAGTTCGGGAATTATCGTCACCTGGGGTAGATGGGGTGAAATGGTTGTGAAAAAACAACCTGCGGAAAACTACTCGAATTGGCGAAATCGCAATTGTATGAAATTGTTTCGCACGGTCGTTCCGCATTGATGTTTGTTTGGTAAACGAGACCTTTTAGCTGCACTCATGTTCGAAGAGGGCTCCGTCTCGGCCCGAATCTGCAGAAAATCTGCGGTCATTTTGAAAACTTGCATGCTCCACTATTTAGCGTTCAATTCTGCGATGGGAAAAACCGCATAATCCTGGAATGCCTGAAAATCTAACTGAAGGATCTTCCTGTTTGTATTACTTTTTTTTAAACATCACCTGATTGTTTAGGAGCTCTTAAGCAGTCAGCCATGACTCCTCCTCTTTCACCATAAGGTATAAGTATAAGGGGACAATCATAAGGCCAAATTTCCTCTTCCAGCAACATGAACATTTAAAGAATACAAATGAAATTTGGTGGTTAAAAGCGTCCGTATGCCAGAAGAGTGTATGAGTGCATGGTTAAAAGGGTAGAAATTTCTCCCAAGGTTCACAGTTGGAGTTTTGCAGAAGATGGTAGCATTTTTATGGTCACCGTGTCTCAAAGTTGAGATGAAGTGAATCTAAAATTAGACCCCATCATCTTCATGCCTAAAGAAAGCCTTTTTTGACCACGAACATGCACCTGGAGATCGTTAGATGCTACTGGAACTTTTTTACAGGAACCGAGTTCTGTTCAGATGAGCGAAAAGTAGAGGAGAGAACAATGTGGAGTTGTTTTTCCTCCAAAGTCCCTGAGAACCTCGTTAAAATACATTGCATCATGAAGTACCAGGAGATTTTGGATGAAAATCTGTCTGCCTTTGATTAGAACCTACATCTGGCTCGTGGTTGGATCTTCCAGCAGTATATTAATCTAAAGCATGCATCCAAATCCACAGTGAAATGGTTAATTGACCATCATTGCAGTTATTTGTTTACAGGGATCATTACGGTGCAGAAATGACAACGCTGTGATGTCATTTTAACGCGCAGTCAATGCCTTTTTCTCCGCAGGTGAAAGCTGCATTCACGCGGGCTTATAACAGGGAGTCCCACTTGACACCGTACTCACTGCAGGTAGTAAAGAAGGGGCGCAGAGGAGCAGTCGAACCTGATCTGAGTTTAGACAGTGACCTCCAGGGACAGGAAGAGGAGGAGGAGGAGGAGGAAACTCTTAATATGGATGCCATGATCAAGGTGAATTACACAACACCAATGTTTGGCTGATTACTTCATTACTAACTTTACACTGTTCACGTTCATTATTATTATTCATTTTAACTTGTTGATTAGTTTTCTTTATCAGCAGCTCTGGCAGTAGTGATCTTCTCATTCGAACATGTTATCGTTTCTATAGTAACTTCCACAGGGACTTGTATGGTGGATGCTCCACATAAACAGTTTAAAAAAAAGAATGTTGGTATGTTGAGGTTTTCTTTGAGATGTTTATTAAGCATTTTTGGAAGGAGTGTGTCTCCAGTGTTGTTCAGGAGTTATAACGTAAGGGGTAAAATGAACTAACTTTAAACACTTAAACGTAACTATAGACTAGAGGTCGAGCGATTGATCGGTTTTGACGGTTACCACCGATAACCGTTTTCCGGAACTATCAAAAATCCACACCGATAGTTTTTCCCGGTTGCGTCTGTTGCGAAGCGGCCGAGAAGCGTCTGTTGTCATTACTATACCGTGCAAGAGCTGCCCCTAGAGGCGAAATAAAAACTGACTAATTTTGTTGTTATTTGAAGTGTTGTTTTTTTTAAACTATTGTTATTATTTTGGATATCTCTACTTTTTATTTGTTATTTGGAGTGTTACTTGTTGGTTCAGTTTGGATATATATCGTTTATTTAAATTAACATTAATTAATGGTTCATATATATATATATATAGATATATAGATGTGTTTTTCATTTTAAAAAAGTTTTTTTTTTAAAATACTGTTGATTTTTGCAATAAAGTTCAGCAATATTTTAATGTTTTATTTAAGTGTTATATTTTCATTCAGTATCAGTTTTAAATGAGTCAGTTCATGAATCGGTTATAGGCAGGTAGGTTCCGCCCAACTTAATGGATTTTACCGATAACTGTCAGTCGACCTCTACTATAAATGGATACGTTTGATGAAATTTTCTTTTCTTTTTTTTTTAAATGTAATCGTTCACACATTGCTGTGGTTTCAGTGGAGTAAAATGTTGGTGTAGCGACAGTAACCTTGGCTGCATCACATACCCTGTTGTTAATTATGTTTCTATCAGCGCATGACCTGTTGGGTTTTATTCCTTACTGTTAAAATCTAGAAAACTGCCCTCTAGTGTATAATCCACATTAGCCTGACTCTATAGTAGAGTCTATGTTATCATGTTTGTATTATCTTATCGGTGGATCTGTTGTTCTACCACTGAATACTCTTCATAAATCTCTCTCTCTCTCTGTCCTGACCCTACAGCAAAAGAAGGCCAAGCCCGCAAAAGAGGTCAAGCAAGAGAGCGCAAGGGATTCTGGAAAGGGCAAAGGCAAAGGAAAAGGCAAAAAGTGAAACCAGGCCTGCGCTGAGAAGAGTCACTGAGAAGAGTCGTTCAGAAAGGCATATTGTAAACAAGCGCTCGTTCCTCCTCTCTGTTAAGAACTCGAACGGCAGCCGAAGATCAGACCTTCCTAAGGCTATCGAAAGGTCAGTATTAACATGGAGCGAGCGGTGGAAAGAGGAGGCATTTTCAGCAATTAGAAACGAGTGGGCGGCCATTCCGTCGTCTCGCACTCGACTGGACAAGAAGGACGATAGAAACAGGAATCCCACACACACACACACACACACACACACACACACAGCACTCATTTACATGCACAAAGTAAAATTTTAAACCATCTGTGACATCAAACATCTCTCATCTCAGCCCTTATTCTCATTACACCTCCTATTTCTTATTCACTTGCAGCTCTTCTTAGGTTACATAAGCAGTTTGCATAAATCACATACTCCTCATGAAGACCATACACATTCGAATGGGTTTGAACTGTGAGCTGTAAATATATATATATGCGCTTTTGAACTCGTGTATATAATTTGATATTTAGTCAAATTTGAAAATTGCGGGAAAGAAAATCCATAAATTTTTTTTGCTTTGGGTTTTTTTTCTTTCCATAGACATTTTTTTTTTTTTACAAACCGACAGTGCACTGTACCGGCTTGTAGCATAGACTGTATACCACTTTGGATTTTCAGCAAGCAATTAAAGAGTTAAGTAATGTGATAGCGAGTTGGTGTGGTTAGTGATTTTTACCGGACTAACTTCATCTTTTATCTTTTCTCTTTGGGGATTTCGCATATACGATGTAACTTATAGATACAATCGTTGGCCATTTAATCAGGTAAACTTCTCATACATATACCGTGTTGAGTTTGTAGGTTTATAGTTAGTGACTGTATAGTCTGTTAATCACTCATCAACAAATGGATCACGTCCACAGCCGTGCCCAAAATATTTCTACTTATAAACTACAAAAACCCAGAAGTTCAGGTCCGTGCAGATCATCCCCCATCCACATGGGGGTGTAGCGATCACTCGATAATGGTGAGCAGCCTGAGCAGACAATTTTAGTATTTTTGTTTTGCCCCATCAAGTTCAATTTGAAACTTTTTAGTTCTGTTATAGATTGATATATATATATTTTTTAATTCTACGTGCTGTAATAGCAAAATGCCGTAATAAATACTTTTATAATAAAGCCTGCATCTCGTCTTATTTTTCTTTGTAACGTGGGATCACTGTTTATAATTGTCACTTGTTGCCATGGCTAATTTATTTGTAGCCTGCACCAGTCGCAAGATTCAGCTGCGATAAGCAGCGATACTGATTCAGCATCAGCAACTACTTGCCATTGATTTTGTTCTCCTGTAACGGAACACCTCGTCATGTTTTATACCTTAAATGTAATTCAAGGGAAGGAACTAATGAAATACACTAACTTGTGTTCTTTCGGCTGATCCAGTTAGGGGTCGCCACAGTGGATCCCCTTCCGTTGTCCACGTATTGATTTGTCATAGGGCATCTGGTGTAAAAACTTTTCTGAAGCGTTTATCTGGGGCTTAGGACCAGCACTAAGTGTGCACTCACCTGTGCGCACCCAGTGTGTGGGATTCAAACCCACCCACAATCCTGAGATCAAGAGTCCTATGCTTTACCAACTGAGCATGCTGGGTACCCAATTTAATCGTTTCGTATGAATCCATATTCAATCGGTTTTCCTTTGCTTGACTTTCTCAATGTTGTTCCACTGAGTTAGTCACTAGTTAGGTTGCGGAGCTAGCTGAGATGGATAGGTGGATGGGGGAAAAGGTCTTTTTATTGCTGAGCTCCTATGCTAGTGCAGTTAGGATAGTGAAGGTATATAGATGGATAGATGGATAGATAGATGGATAGATATAGAAGAGATGAATCAATTCCAAATCGGATTTATTGAGGACAATCAGAATGTTAAGGGCAGTAGACAGAAATGTCATACTTATAAAAGTGTATATATATGTGAATAAATCATTTTATTGCAGTACCTCACGACTTAAATATGCAGATTTTTTTTTTCTTCAAAACAACACATAGAACTTCGATGTGTTCATAACGTGAAGAAAAACAAGACTGTGTCCCGTTTCTAAGGATTAAAGTGGTGTTCTATGCGATCATAGATATGGCAAAGGACAAAGAATGATGCACAGTGTCAGTCCAGCTGAAGAATGTAGGTTTGGGTCAAATATTAAACATCCTTACAAAAATAAATACGTTTCAACCCTACTGTATCCTCTGAGCATCACTATCGTTCCCTCGATCGAATCTTGAGCTAAACATTGCCCGTCAGGTCCTTCACATATAACAACAAAAAAACAACCCAGAGTCTAAATTCTCCAGATTCACATTCATCTCTGCCTTAGGTGAAGCGAAGCGAAGATGTCAAATATAATTGTAGGGTTGAATGATTTCAGAGTACTGGCATTTATTGTCTTCTCCCACTGAACAACACGAGCCTGCTCGAGTGATTAGCTGGTCGTTACAGTTGGTCTACAGTTAAATACATACTGCATTTGGAGTATTTCTCATCATTTCCACTCACTGATTAGAAACCGTGAACTACAATACACTACGATGTTCTGTTTAATATGCTTTTAATAAGCTCTTGTGCTGTGAGAGAATTTCTAAATTGATCTGTTTACAGTTCACACCATAGTTCAGACCTTATTTCTTATTACTAAATGCACAATGCAGAACTACACCAGACCAAGCTACGTGTTGCGAATGGATGCTTTGATACGGATTTCACTTATTGATTATAAGATGTAGTAGACCGACTAGGGTCTCCTAATCCAGCCAGCTTTAGTTATTCCTCTCATGGCGTTTTATTTCGTACCTACAGGGAAGATTTTAGGAATGAGGATGGATCGAGGAACCCACTGAGAGTTTCTGGTATTTAAGTTATCCAACAAACGGCTAAAAGTGCATTCTCTATCACATTTTTCAGGACGGTATTAAACAGTACTGTGTTTGCCATCATCGGTGTACAGAGTTTGATGTGTGGGATGTCACTGGTACGTCTCAAATTCTTCACTGCTCCTGAGTATGTGGTTCTCCTGAAGGTCTGCCCATCACTCACCCGCACCAGCCATTTGCCAGACATTGACTCCACGTTTCTACTACTTCCTTTTCCGAAGCTGTAAATGTCAGTGGTGATCGTTGATTAGTCAGTCATGATCTTGGTAACCATAGACATGGACTGTAAAGTGTGAGATGCACTTACAGTAACAGGAAGCATGAGGAATTCACATCACCAACCTGGAAGGTTATTCTGAGAAAGCGAGAGAGAGAGAGAGAGAGAGATGAGTTCTGGAGGTACTACTGAAAACTGTTTCAATTTTTGACATTGATTTGAAATATAAATAACATCCTAGAGTTAGTATCGCTATGGTAATATGAAAAAAACAAAACTCCCATGAATTATAAAATTATAGCGTGAGGGTGAAATAAGTATTCTGACATTTTATTTTTGTTATTTAATATATTTCCAGTGCATACTGTAGATCCACTTCAGATATGCGCAATTTGTACATGCAGTTTGGTCTGATACTGGTTGCTGGTCCGTTTAAAAAATGATTTTACTTGGTTTAACTACATCGGCCATCTTTGTGTCCTGGCACACAAGAAATTTTGATTCCCCAGCTGCTTACGCAAAGCACAATATCTCGGCTTAGGATGGTCCTAGTTCCTTGTAACGAAAACTGATCTCTAAAGCACATTTAGCACATTCTTCTTCCTTAGACGTCGAACTTAACAAATGTAGGTTTAAGGTTTTTGCTAAGGCTCTGTAGCTTTTTCCATGTGATATCCTTCACCACCAATGGTAACGTCTTTTACAATGAGGTCCAATTTGCATAAGAACGTTTTTACATCATTTACAGACAGGTCCTGCTTAATATTGTGTAGGTCCCCCTCGGGCTGCCAAAACAGTTCTGACCCATCGAGACATGGACTCCACAAGACCTCCTGAAGGGGTCATGGGTGCCCTTCAGAGGTCTTGTGGAGTCCATGTGACTGGTTCCTTCTTTGGACCACTTTGGTTTTTTGTGTTTCATACCAGGGACATCCTACAAGACCTGCTGTTTTGGAGATGCTGTGACTCAATCGTCTAGCTATCACAATCAAAGTCACTCTGATCTAAGCTTACGCTTGCCCATTTTTCCTACTTCCAACACATCAACTATGAGAACTCCCTGTTCACTTGTTGCCTAATAAATATACCCCACCCCTTGACAGGTGCCATTGTAATTCACTGTTCTTCACTTCACCTGTCTCTGGTTGGTTATGTTATGGCTGATCGATGTATATTGGATGTAAAATTCAATAAGGAATATAATCTCCAGACTTTTAGGTTTAATTTGAAGGGATTATTAGGTGTGGAGTTGTCATGTTCTCCCTGTGCTGCTGGGGGTTTCCTCCGGGTACTCTGGTTTCCTCCCCCAGTCCAAAGGCATTCATGGTAGGCTGATTGGCGTGTCTAAAGTATATGTAGTGTATGAATGGGTGTGTGAGTGTGTATGTGATTGTGTCCTGCGATGGATTGGCACCTTGTCCAGGGTGTACCCCGCCTTGTACCCGATGCTCCCTGGGATAGACTCCAGGTTCCCTGTGACCTGTGAAAAGGATAAGCGGTATAGAAGATGGATGGAAAAGTAATTGGAGAAGTGGCTGCTTAGCTGTTCCGTGCACTGGTGTATGTTATGGCCTCATTATTTCCCTTTCAAGTAAGTGAATGCAAAGGCAAAATTTGAAGTGGATATATGCACTGGAAGTAAATGGTAAATGTGCACTTATATAGCGCTTTTATCCAAAGCGCTTTACACTGTGTCTCCTTCACCCATTCACACACACCAACGGTAGCAGAGCTGCCATGCAATGTGCTAGCTTGCCATCGGGAGCAACTTGGGGTTCAGTGTCTTGCCCAAGGACACTTCGGCATGTGGAGTCACCCGGGCCGGGAATCGAACCACCAACCCTACGATTAGTGGACAACCCACTCTACCACCTGCGCAACAACCGCCCCGTACACTACATACTACACAACGCTTCCAATATGTGCTTGTTGAAAATCCCGTTCCAGACATAGTCCCTGTTTTGCTGTTATAATAACCTCCATTCTTCTGGATGTTGGAGTGTGGTTGTAGGGATTCGCCACTAGAGAGTTCGTGAGGTCAGGCACTGATGTTGGACGAGGACGCTTGCTGGGCAAAACTGTTGAGTGGGGTTGAGGTCAAAGGCTCTGTGCAGGCCACTTGAGTTCTTCCACTCAACATTGGCAAACCATGTCTTTATCGCGTTTAGCCCTTTGCGCATTGTCATGCTGGAACATGTTCGGCTTGACCCTTAGTACTAGTGACGGGAAAAGCAGACAAAGACATTCTACCCAACTGTGTTCTTCCAACATTGTGGCGACGTTTTGGGAAGGCCCACATATGGGTGTGATGGTTAAGTGTTCACATACTTTTGGCCATATATTGTATATATTAAATAAAAATAATAAAATCCAAAGTGTCTGAATACTCATTTCAGCTCACCGTATGCATGTTCTGCCTTTTATTTGAAAAAGACAGCAACTACGGGGGTTAAAGCAGCCAATGTTATTAATGTCCAGCATGAAGTGAAGCATTTTGAAATGACCGCATCACACTCCATTCCTTACCTGGCACTCGTATGAATAATGCGGAGTAGCTCTAAAACGTGCTATCTCCAGCACCATTGATCCACTGCAGTTCTGAAACCCACACACACCTTAATGAAATCGCCTCGTCCTTTTGATTATACACTTCCAAACAAATATCAGTAGCAAGTGTTTGTGTGTTGGTTGTTCTGTAGGAAAGTGATTGTGTAAGTGAGACTAACACCTGTAGTAGTGTCCGGGCGTAATCTTGAGTCACAGCTCTGATGTCCTCTCCATTTACTGATAAAATCTGATCACCAAGTGAGAGTCTTCCATCTGTCTCAACCACCCCTCCCTGTCTTATCTCCGATACAAATATCCCTGTGTCATTCCTGCAACACACAGGAATGCGGATCATGACCACAGACATAACCACTTTATATTAAATCTTCCATTTAATTGATGAATTGTAGGACTACTATTATGTTAGTAGTACTCATTGCTAAACGAATCACTATTTATGTATAGGGTTGCTTGAAAGTTTGGGAACCCTTTAGAATGGTCTATATTTCTACATAAATATGAAATAAAATATTATCAACTTTATCAGATGTTGGTGGGTTTCCTCACATGAACAGGTTCAGGTTCAGGTTCTTCCACAACATTTCTATTGGATTAAGGTCAGGACTTTGACTCGGCCGTTCCAAAGCATTCACTTTACTCTTCTTTAACCGTTCTTTGGTAGAACGACTCGTGTGTTTAGGATCGTTGTCTTGCTGCATGACCCACTTTCTCTTCAGATTCAGTTCATGAACAGATGTCCTGATATTTTCCTTTAGAAATCGCTAATATTCCGAATTCATTGTTCTATCAACGAGGGCGAGTCGTCCTGGTCCAGATGCAGCAGAACAGGTCCAAACCATGATACTACCACCACCATGTTTCACAGATGGGATAAGGTTCTTATGCTGGAATGCAGTGTTTTCCTTTCTCCAAACATAACGCTTCTCTTTTAAACCAAAA